TTGGTAACGAAACGCCACATGACTTATTTTTGTCAAGCAAGCATTTCGGAATTACTTATTTACTAGTGACAATCTTGTTGTTTTATTTGAGAATATCCTATCAGCATAATCCCCTTATTTGATACACTGACCTTTTTTCTACTTCTTTTCATCAAAGGGCCGAATGTATATACTAGTACCAACAGACTATCAACTAAAACAACACTAACACAATGATAGCTGCAAGGAAACCATTCTCATGCTTGGCCATCAAACATACGGGCAATTAGCTTAAATAATATTAAAATAAGGAAGGAATCTCACACTGAAAAAACATGGACAGGGGATTTAATGTGCACAGTTATTTTATTTATCTCTGTCTACTCACAGTTCCTGCTCAAAAGGCATTTGAAACAAACGAAGAGTTTGCAGGTAAGGCTTTTAATTAACGTAGGTTACATTAATTGAAATAACACAGAACATAAATCCAGCACATACATTTTTAGGAAAGGGTATGGGCATTCGCATTTTAGAAATGCGCATTTATGTCTAAAATCAAGAGCTCGCATTATTTTCAAAATTCCTGTTTTACAGTATAAAATACCAGCTAACGGTTAAAATGTCATTGGGTAAGAATAACACAGACAATAGCGCTGAATATACCAAACCTTATTTCCGGAGCAATCAAGAAGTTATAACTGAATCCGATGCTATAAGCGCATCATTAGATACATCAATTCAACGGATACAGGAAACTTTAGAACGCTGGAATAGAGGTTCGGGTTGGGGTGTGGATAAAATCGGTACTTTATATTTAGTTACAGCAAATTATATGTCTTTCAAAGGTGGATCTTATATAGATTTACCCTCGTATTATAAAGAGAAAAAAGCCATAATTAATGTAAAAAATAAAGGCGATGACTGTTTCAGAATGATGATAAGATCTGCATTGTTCCCAGTAGATTCTAAAATTGCAAATAGGCCTTCTAGCTATCCCCAAAACGACGGACTCAACTTTGATGGTATAGACGAACCTACACCAGTCTCACAAATTGATAAGGCGGAAAAGCAAAATAATTTAGCTATAAATGTTTTCAGACATACTTCTAAAGGAATTGTTGTACACAGGATAAGCCCCGCGCCAGAACATATTCCCAGAATCAATTCATTTCTGATCGAAAAAGATGGTAAATATCATTATACATGGATAAAGAGTTTAAACAGACTATTATACGATCAAACAAAACATAAGGAAAAGAAATATTTCTGCGAAAGATGCCTGCATGGGTACAGCAGACAAGATCTATTAGAAGCGAATAAAGAAGTCTGCAGAGGTGTTGGACAGACTGCTATCAGGATTGAAATGCCTAAAGAGGGAAAAAATATATTAAAATTTGAGCATTATTGCAATCAAATGCCAGTATCGTATATAATTTATGCTGACTTCGAAGCACTTCTCAAACCTATAGAAAATACCGAACACAATACTGAATGTTGTTTTACGTACAAAACTCAAGAACATATTCCTTGTGGGTTTGGATATATAGTTGTAAGGTATGATGTGAAAACAAACCCGCCCGTGATTTACAGAGGTCCCGATGCAGCGGGAAAGTTCCTAGAATATCTACAAAACGAAGAGAGAATAATCAGGGAAAATTTATCGCGTAAGAAACCCATGTGTATGACGAGGGATGATTGGAGGGCCTATAAGAGATCAACGAGTTGTGATGTTTGTAATAAACCCCTGAATGGGGATTCCGTAAGAGATCATTGCCACGTCATGGGTAATTATCGGGGAGCGGCGCATAACGAGTAATAATTCTCAAACAATACCCATCCCCGTTGTGTTTCACAACCTTAGAGGATATGATTCACATCTCATTATTCAAGCTTTCTCAAAAGTCTGACGGCGGCTTAACGTTCATTCCTAATAATATGGAAAAATACATATTATTCTCGTTGACTAAAACTATACATTATAGGGACAAGGATGGGAAAGCTAGAATAAAGCAAAGTAATGGACTTAGATTCATAGACTCCATACAGTTTCCTAGACAATTTAGCTAATGCAAACAATCCCGATGACTTTGCAATAACAAATCAATATACTGATCGGTTAACTCGTCATTTGTTGTTGAGAAAAGGTGTATATCTTCATGAATACATGGATGATTGGTCTAGATTCGACGAAACTAAATTACCACCCCTTGAATCATTCTATAGTAACTTAACAGAATCTAAAATAACCGTTGCCGATTATGAACACGCTCTGACGGTGTGGGATAAATTAGGTTGTAAGAATTTAGGTGATAATCACGATCTGTACTTAAAAACCGATGTACTGTTACTCGCCGATATATTCGAGATATTTAGAAAGACATGTTTAAAACAATACGGCTTGGATCTGGCATGGTACTATTCCAGTCCCGGACTATCGTGGGATACATTGTTGAAGAAGACCGGTGTAGAACTAAAATTACTCACGATTATGATATGCACTTGTTTATTGAGAAAGGATTATGACTTTGTATATCAATGACGGCGAAAAGGTATTCTAAGGCTAATAATAAATTAGTGGAAGGATATGATCCCAGTAAACCCGATACACACATACCGTATTTGACGTAATAAGCGCCCAGGGCACTCTCAAAATTAGAAATAGGGGGCTCTTATTAGAATATTATTTTGGTGGAAAAAACAGAGTTGAAAGATAAATTTCGTGGTTTATGCTAACGGCCTGACTGTTTATATACGACAAATATATTTTTCCAGAATTTAATTGCCCATAATTAGGGGGGCATATAACACACGAGTGCGTATTATACACGAATAAATAAGTCTTGTGTACATTGATCAATCGGAAGGGGTGCTAATTGGGATTGTTCACTTGCCAATATATTAGCAAATATCGCCGTAGGGGCTTATTAGAGCGGGGCGCTTATTACGTCCAATACGGTATATCTCGACGCCAATAATTTGTACGGATGGGATATAAGTCAACCTTTACCCATGGGTGGTTTTGAGTGGGTCGATGTGAATGATATTGATGTGAATGATATCAATATGAACAAAGGGTACATACTAGAAGTTGACTTGGAATATCCAAATTCGTTGCACAAAGACCATAACAGTTATCTGCTAGCTCCCGAAAGATGAATGGTTGATAAAGATTGGATGTCGGAATATCAACACTCCTTGATGGGTAATACTAGGTTAGCTAATGTAGAAAAACTCGTACCAAACTTGATGGATAAGACAAAATATATAGTTCACTACAGAAATCTCCAGTTATATCTATCGTTAGGTATGAAACTAAAGAAAATACACAGAGTTCTAAAATTTGATCAAAGCCCTTGGATGGAGCCCTATATAAGACTGAACACAGATTTAAGAAAGATGGCTACCAGCGATTTTGAAAATAACCTATATAAGCTCATGAATAACTCAGTATTTGGTTAAACTATGGAGAATCTAAGGAAGCGTGTTGATGTTAAATTGGTCAGATCTAATGAGGAAGAAAGACTCAGGAAACTTATAGCCAGTCCGTCTTTTAACAGAAGCAAGATATTTGATAACGACTTAGCTGCACTACATATGCAGAAAAGTAATATAAAATTCAACAGACCAGTGTACGTTGGTATGAGTATTCTTGACTTGTCAAAACACTTAATGTATGACTTTTATTACAACGAACTTAAGAAGCAATATGGCGATAGATGTGAGGTGTTATATACCGACACAGATTCTTTGTTGATGGAAATACAAACCGAGGATGTGTATAAAGATATGGCAGAAAAAATAGATTACCCAAAAGATAATCCACTGCACAGCGTGGTAAATAAAAAGGTGTTAGGTAAGATGAAGGATGAATGTGCTGGGACCCCTATAGAGGAGTGTGTCGGATTAAGACCTAAGATGTATTCTATTAAGAAGTCTGATAATGGAGAGATAAGGAAAGCTAAGGTTGTTAAGAAGTATGTGGTAAAAAAGAATATCAAACACGAACAGTATAAAGAAGCATTATTCAATGGTAGAACATTCAAACACGAGATGAACACTTTAAGAAGTGACAATCACAGGATATATGAATCAAGAATGAACAAGACATCATTATCCCCCTTAGATACAAAGAGATTGATTGATAAGGATGTTGTAACTACCTATATGCTTATGGTTATGGTGGTAATATCGTTGGGAACTATGAGCAACTCCGGGAATGTCCGGTTAAATCTTTCAACGAAAGCTTGACTACGGTGGGCCTCTTTTTCACCACGCCTGATTTCGACATCGTGCTTTGTTAACAGTTTAGTTACTGATCCAATAAACTTGTGACCAGGATCTACTTGAAATAACTTAGGCCATTTTAGTGGTCCGCGTTTATATATGCGGCTCAGTGTATTAGCTACTTCTGTTGAACCTTTCGAGGTTAATGGCTCAGCCTCTTTGTATCGACTAGCCACATCCACTACGGTTAAAGCGTATTTATACGTTTTGCGTCTTACCTTATCGTGGGGAAGAAACAAGAGGTCAGCCTGATGAACTTCATGCATTGTAAAAATATCAAACTTCTTCCTCGGTATATAACGCGTTGCCGGTAAGTATATTTGCCAAATCGCTTATTTCTTTAACCAACCCATGGCCACATCTTTAGATACCTTAGCCGTGGTGGCTAATTTTTTTATTGCTCCTATACCTTTTCAATATCCTCGTGGGCTATAGTAAATTTTATCCATTATTAACTCTTTCATCCCTGACTGCCCCAGAGTTATGTCCCTTGAAACACTGCAGTCCCTGACACTGACAAGGCCTGCACACTGGCCTCCCTGGCAGTATTATTGGAAAATCACACTATCATTTTTGATGCACTTTTTCTACCAGAAACTTGCTTTTAATATACATTTATCATATACCATTGTAAAGAGGATTAAGTATACTGTAATATTCTTTGTTGTTATTGTTTCTAACCTTTGTTATTTTCTAATTACAGGTGTTTACAAGTGAAATAAAACTTGAAAACACTGAAAAAATGATAACAGACAATGAAAATTAGCTCAAAATGTATTAAATATCACAAAAATAAATCACAGATACAAGGTAAACATAACACGGTGGTCTTGTCATCTTGGACGGCACAGCTAATCCCAGTTGTTACAGGTAAATTCTCTTCATGCACATCTGTAAACAAATAAACAAGTTTACGACACTTGGTACCGATTTTTTTTCTCTATACTGATGTCACATATTACTTATGATACACTTACAGCCTCTTAGGTAAACTCGTTAACACAGGTAAACTTGTTAACGCAGGTACACTCGTTAACATAGGTAAAAACACAAATATCAGATTTATTTTGTTCTTTTTCAGGATTTGAAACAAAAATTAAGTATTTAAGTAATTAAATAGTAATTTATCACATTACCTGAACATTGAACCACAGCTACTATAAGAATGACATCACAGGGAAGATATCACAGATTGATCTGAAAGGAGGGAAAGATTGTAAAAGGACAGAAAGATCGTAAATTCAAGTTCTGCAAATATACAAGTTGTGATAACATCTTAACAATACACTGCTATTTACAATTGCATAATAAATTAAATCAGCACTTTATTAAATCAATTAATAAATAAATAATTGTTACAGTTACCAAAATTTAAATTAAGATGTAAAAAACAAGAAAACGAACATGAATATGGAAATAAATTTTATTCAAATTGAGCGAAATACAAGAACATACGACAAACCGGCAAACTAGTATTTGGATTGCGATCAGAAAAATAAATTTATAAAAAAGAAAGAAAGAGATACATCATGCCACTCACCTTTGTTGTTGTTGTGATCGCTCGTTCACGTGTAGGCTGCATTCTCATTCATCGCCCAGATAATCTGTTCAAACACAGAATCATTGTAAAACAGTTGGAAAAAATCAATAGCACGACTCTTCACTCACCGTGTCAATAAGTATTCTTGAGTCCGGTCGCCTCTTCAAAACCCCTCATGTCTCCACCGTTGTGGTCCCTCTGCCACTCCCATTCTTGAAAGTTGGCGGGGGTGGGGGGAGGGGGGGAACACCTCGTCGAAACCGTCAAAATCTTCGCGAAATTCCCTCTCCCCTTCGCGTAAATTATTCAAATCAAACACATTATTATTCCCGATAGTCGTTGTTAATCATCTGATCGCTATCCGAATCGTAGTTGGCCGCCATTACGCTAGATTTACGATTCAAGCAAGAAAAACAGGTGACATATCCGCGATTTACGCGCCAAAAACACTGATAAATTCCATGGAATGACGTGTCATTACGTGTAGATCTCATTTCTATTTTTAGAACAAGATTACACACGATAAAGGAAGTAGAAAGAGCGATTTTGTAAACACATTCTTGCCGCCCGATTTAGCGGGCAGCCCATGTGTGGGACTTGGACAGTAGCTGCCCGATTTATCCGGCAGCCGTGTACTGGGCCATGGTTTATGCTGTCCGATAAATCGGGAAGTCGGGGCCATAGGGTTAATTAATATTGATGTTTCTTTTAATACGTTTCATGGCGATTGTTGAATCGCGTCATCGTTTTGACATAAAATATCTGTAGTAGCAGTATAGGTATATAAATCTGGCTCCAGTGGGGTTGCGGCAAAACTCCCATTACCTATACTACTCATTGTCTTAGTCTGAGTTTTTATGTTATTATCAATAACAAATAGAGAAAACTACCATAAAACATGAGAGGAAATTTTTAAACTTATCCTATCTCACACTATGCATATCTTCTTATTCTTCGATCTTGGTGTGGAAACGTCCTAGAACAAAGTTTCGAGCTTAAAAATCACCACTCACCCAAACACATCCCATACATCACCAAATCACCACTGTGATCATGGTTCTATTATGGAATTATTATGGTTCTGTTCGAATGAACAAAACCTTCCTTGGGGGAATTAGTCAGCAAAGAGCCGGAGTCACAGGAGACTAATCACAATTTTATTTACAAGAACAATTAACAATGAACAATTTACAATATTTTAGAATATAGCTGAGGGTGCCACAGAGAGTCGGTACAACCCTCTGGGCTGTGGGAGAGAGATCTGCTTGGTTAGAGCGACAAACCCCTTCTGCTTAACATTTGGCTTCTGTATGTATTTAACAAAAATTAGAACAATAAAAAGGAATATGATTGGTTGATACACGATGGGCTGTGCCTTATGGTTAATGAATGGCTAGACAGAGGGGAATACTTAATCCTGTTAATCCTGTTGGACTGGCACTAATCTTGTTGACATATTTACTGGGTGCTTTGGAAGAGATTATGGTGTAACTATAGACGAGCTTGTATTGGGGCTAATCCTTAATGAGTCTAAATTGAAGTAATTGCTGAATGTTATTCTAATATAGGTGATGAGAGATTTACTTAAATAAAATAGTTCAAGGTAATCTATAAGACTATGTAGACATATCTTTTGTCTAGGAGATGGGATCTTGATACCTTAGGCTAGCATTTATCTAAAAGCTTCAAATCTATTAAACTATGTAGACATAACTCTTGTCTTATTGAATAGTATGTCTAGGAGATGCGCTCCCATTACCTTAGGCTAGCATCTATCTAAAAAGCTATAACTGAAACTACTGATATTTTATATATGCATTTTACCTGATGATAAGTATTACTTGCTAAACTATAATTATATGAAATGATGTATAAATATGACACCATGATAACTCATAAAAGCACTTGATGTGGATCTAATTATTATAGGAAAACTTAGTATAAATGTTATATCATCATAGTTCACGCACCACTAAAATCCCGTGTGGCACGACCCCAGCGACCTGATCACCTGACATATCCAGCACCCTCATTCTCAATTCTATCGCTATGGTGTTAAGATGTTATTCTTGAACAGAGAAATTTTGTTTGTTTGGGTTTTCTTTGGTGTTTTATATATATATATATATATATATATATATAAAATTTAAATACACGACATCACTACTAACGTTGACCATTACGTTTCGAAGAGAGAGTGGTATTAATAACGATGTCCACTGTGTACCACCTTGCAATTGGATCTCAACTTACTTAGCTTAGTGTTCGATTAAGGAGACTGTTCGTCGGTTCAAGGCGTTGTTTGCTTGCATATTGTTTTTCCTCTGCTTTGAAACCCAAACGATTGGGTTATCCCCTGTGGCTGTACCTTCGTTCTCTTGCTTAACAAAATATTATAGTCACTTTTGGGGATGGTTACATCGCTATCCGTGGAGGAGGATCGCTTTCCGTCTCGTTTGACTACTGCGACTCCCGCCTATGTGTGGACCACGCCCCAGTGCACATGCCCACTCCCTGGCTTCTACAGTCGTCCCGCATTTAAATGGCCAGTTCAGTGTGTTGGACTACGGCCCTTTACTCTGCCTGGGAAGTCAAGCCGTCAACTGAGGGTTGCCTCTTCCCTAGACACACTTGTTACTCAGGTCATTGCTTCTACAGCGCTCTGAGGATACAGCTACATGTCTCCTTTCTAATGGCGACAACCATTCTGACCGAAAACACTAAAATCGTCGGCGAGGAAGTGAAAGCCAACTGACGACGGTTCTTCACTCACAGGACTGTCATCCTTCGCTGGATCGAAACCACCGAGTGATCAAGGGATCATAGACGACCGAGGGATCGACAGATCGACAGATCGACAGATCACCAGACTTCACCAATTTGTGTGCTGGAGATTAGGTCCCTTACTCTGGCAGTGTGGGTGCGAATCCCGAACGGGACTCAAGCCCATAAAGTACGAGCATGTACTTTACTGAGAAGATGTTATCCCGGATATAACTTTTTTATATAATACAGACGAACGACGGATCGTCCTCAGTCATAAGATCGTAATTCTTCCACGGAATCAATAGACCTCTCTCTCTCATTGTGCATCAGACTTCTTTACGCGAATTTGGACAAGGCCTTCACTGCATTCCGTTGTCTAGATCAGACAATCCAGTGATTGTCATCACGAGCATCCACATACGTCTTGGGATACGATGACCTGCACCAACCATATCAGCGAACTTGACCAACCGGTCTCATCGATCTCTTACAGGCATAGTCACCTCGTATGGTGAGCTTGAGATACTGACGTCTCTTCTCTACCGGGATCTTCATGGATCCGGTCCACGTGCCTGCCAGCCATGAATCGTATTACGATACTCTCCTATGAGAAATCACAATTACAAGGTTATGACAGAATTGAATAATCAAAACCATCCTGAGGCTCGATATCATCGCAGCACACCTTTATCTTCAACGCCGTCGCCTTAAGCCTGATATTCCATTACAGGTTATGACACTCGAGGCAACGCGTTCCACCTATTCAGATTTGAATCGTCAGACAGACGACATCATCCTGAGGCTCGATATCATTGCAGCCGACCTTTCTCATCGACGACCTCGAATTCAGCCTGATGTTCCATATTAGTTTTCACGCCCTATCCATGGTCAACCTACGCCATTCTAACAGACGATTTGACGGGGGAGTTCGTCGGTCTTTCATCGATACAAATGGCAGATGTTCGATGTCTTAAGATGGTTTCAAGTGTCATACGAGGCTCACCTAGGTACTACACCGGTTTGTCCCATATTCTACAAGCAACTGACTGCCTATACACCGATGTTTTTCGTTACTCGGGACACCGTTCGTGTGTTTGGGAGCTTTTGACCACGTGATCGGAAAGACTGCAGGGGATACGGTGTTAGCGTTGGGCGTCTCAACGTGTGTGATTCCCGTGCACCCTTTCGAGTTGAGTTGATTGGTTCAACTGTGTCATATGGCCCTGTGACGCAGGGGTAGCATTATGCAGATGGCTGTTTCAATGAATGCTCGTTCCACCCGTGACGAACAGGTCTGGTTGTTGATGAAATATAGTGATAGCTAAATAGACAGATTTTTTATTCATGCACCGATTGTCTTTAAATGTAATATCCAGTTATGTAAGACTATTTAATAATCTCATACCAACTTTGACTGGAGTAGGTCCGATAGTTTTTCAGATAGTTTTCCAGACTATACGCAGAACTTGTTTACACAAGCCGGAATACAACAACCACCTGTTCACTTCAACTGGGAAGTAACATCAGAAGCAGATGGCTCTACCACATCAATTATCTGGAATAATTGTAATCCGGGCAATATTTCTTTGGACCCCACAGACAAGAAACCAATGTCTGATGATCGGGACACTCATTTCAACTGTCGCATGCACCTTCAAGGCACGATGAAATCAGAGACCCTCCTGCAGTTGACTTTTGGTAGACAAGCTCAACTTACAGATAAAGGCAAGACATATACTGGGAGCGGCAAGTGGATTAGCAAACACTTTATCCAGACCAGCCAGACTATCGCCAACAGAATGGAAGCTACGGCCGAAGCATTCCAACAGGCAATAAAAGAAAAGGTTGTCTACTAGTAACCCTATTTGCATCAGATAACATTGTGTCACCAGCACCGGGCCCACTAGCCTGGTCAATCGATGCTCTGACAATATCATGGGAGGACTTAAACGCGTATGCGTTTCCCCCACCAGCCTTGATACCAAGGATATTACAAGATTCTACACACAAGCTACCTACAACTGCTGTTGGTAGCGCCCTTTGACCGACAAGAACTTAGGTTCCAGATATCGTCGAATTGGCAGAGATTCCACTACTAAGACTTACAAACTGGTGACATCTACTGCTACATCCTCCCTCCAATCAGGTCCATCCAAGACCAGAATTATACGAACTTCACGTATGGAGTATATCAAGAACAGTCTCGTAAGATGATTTCCATAAGAGCAGCTAAGGCAGCCTCCTTAGCACTTTGTCAATCAACGAGAATCTAGGTGACGATATATATACAAAAGTTTTCACCAGTTTGCAAGATCCAGGGTTTTCTGCAGCCAAGCTACTATACCACAAGTAGCAGATTACCTATGTCACTTAAGAAGTATACAAGGCTTCTTATCATTCGACACAGGGCACTTACTGGACAGCGATCAGTTCTGTACCAACTACTCACTAATGGGA